GGGGCGGGCGTGGGAGGGGGGGGGGACGGGGGGGACCCCCGGGCAGGGGAGTTGCGGTGGGAGGGGATGCTTAGCCATCGGGGTTTGCAGCAAGGGGGGACGGCCAGGCACGGGGGCTTGCAGTGGGGGACACATGGGGGCTCTGCGCCATGCTGGGGGGGTCCCAGGACCCCCACCCACCTGCTCCTTCTCCTGGTGACCCGTGACCTCGCGCCGCTGCTGCTCGAGCTCGGCCGTGGCCTCGGCCAGGCTCTGCTGCAGCCCCCGCAGCGTCTCCGCCAGCGCTGCCCTCTCCTCCTCCTGCAGCGCCAGCGCCTGAGGGGGGACACGGCTCAGCCAGGGTGGGGGACACCGGGGCCGGGACACAGGGGGACACCGGGGCCACCCACCTGCTGCTTCTCGCTCTCACGCTGCCTCCGCATCGACACCAGCTCGGCCGCCAGCTCCTCCTGCTCCCGCGCCAGCCGGCCCCGCTCGGCCTCCAGCTCCTCCTGTTCCCCCCAAAAATCACCAGTGAACCCCAAAAATCACCAGCAAACCCCCCAAATCACCATGACACCAACGTTGCACCCCAAGAATCAGCATCACACCCCAAAAACCAGCATCCCCCCACCCAGTGCCCACCTTCTCGCGCTGGAGGCGGTCGAGCTCATCGCGGTGCGCGTCGCGGGCACTCTGCAGGGCCACCGTCACCGCCGCTGTCTCAGCCGCCGCCACCGCCTGCCGCCGGGCCTGCAGCTCCTGCTCCCGCTCCAGCCGTGCAGCACCCAGCTCCGCTGCGGGGACCCCCCCCGTCGTCAGCGGGGATCCCCCCGGGAGGGCAGGGGGGCGTGGGTTAAGTGACAGGAGCAGGGACACAGCGGGGACGCAGTGGCGGAGGGTTTGTTGTGACCTGGGTGCAGGTGGGTGGGGATGGATAGGGGGATGGGGACGAGGATGAAGATGAAGATGGACAGAGATAGATGGGAATGGGGATGAAGATGAAGATGGGGATGAGGATGAAGATGGGAATGAGGATGGGGAAGGATGGGGATGGGAGGAAGATGGAGGGGGATGAGGATGGAGATGGGGATGAGGATGGAGATGGGGATGGATCGGGATGAGGATGAAGATGGGGATGGATGAGGACAAAGATGGGGATGAAGATAGGGATGGATGGGAATGGAGGTGGTGATGATGATGGGGATGAGGATCCATGAGGATAGATAAAGACAAGGATGAAGATGGGGATGGATGGGGATAAGGATGGATGGGGATACGAATGGAAGGGGATGAGGATGAGGATGGGTGGGGACGGCCAGGGTGATGAGGCCAGGCTGGGGGCCAGGGATGGACCCCTCACCCTCCAGCATCTCCTTGGCCTGGAGCAGGGTCCGGCCCTCGGCCTCCAGCTGCTGGTTGCGGGTGTCGAGCCGGGCCAGCTGCTGCTGCAGCTGGGAGATGCTGCTCCCCCGCCCCTCCTTCTCCGACCTGCCGAAACGGCGCCGGGCCT